TGTGTGTGTGTGTGTGTGTGTGTGTGTGTGTGTGTAGAAAGGAGTGGAAGAAAGGAGGAGAGACTCAAGAAAGAGAAAAGAGAGGGGTCGTAGGGTGGGGTAGGGTGGGGGAGACGAAACAAATAATACATTTGTACATAAAATAATAATTTCTTGGAATTTGCAGGACGTAAGACCCTTGTGTGCACAAAGTAATTCATCAGACATCAAAACTAGTGCTCTTCTCTCATAGGACTTCAAAATTCTAGGGTAGTGATTTCCTACAATAAGAATCACAGTTTACCTTTTCTGACGTTGAAACCTTTGTTATTGGCTTCCTTCATGGAAGACATACTCGTTGCCTGGCAGATAGACTTGATCAGGTCGTCCGCTACCTCAATCTCCAGGAACTTTGCAATGCGTTTCATCTCTCGGGGCTGGTTCTAGACGAGAAGAGAAATAAAATACCGTGTTGATTCTGTAGTTTCTTTTTGGTATGATTTTCACGCATTACTATAGGCTACTATTGGCACGCATACGTTATTTCAAAAGTAGGGTACATTGTCTTATAGTTGTTAAAGGAAAGAAGACGAGGGGAAAATCGTAACTGCGAAGGTTTTACGCCCCCATCGACATTATTTATTTAGATCATTTATTAGGAGGAGGACTTCGACCCTGCCCGTAAGGATCAATCTGGGCTACTGCGTCCCAGCAGAAGTGTCCTCAAAATCCGGGGGCGCCCTCTTCGAAAAAGGGCGGACTTTGCTAGCAGAGTTACCCTAATTGGGTGAAAAACAATAAAAGCGAAGCTAACAAACTGTGCTATTCCTATTCTTCTTCTCGAGAAATGAAAGAGAGCTTGAAAACAAAGACTGCAGCGCCGCCTGAAGAAATGCGCGGACTTCCGCGGACGCTTTTTTGTCCGAGTGAACTATCTTGTTACGAACGATCTTTGTCGTCACACAGAAATCGAACTTAGGTCTTCTGTGTGCGATGTTGAAGTACCAAACTGCTACACCGCGGACACAAGTTAAGATTTTAAAATGGGATGGAGTGGATAAGAATAGAGACCGGGGGGGGGGGGGGGGGGGT